ATGTGATGAAGAAAGAAGGAAGGGGTTTACATCAGCTTATTTTGGAGAAGTGTGAAAAATGTGTGAAACACCTTCCTGTGCATATTAGCTAAAGCAACTACAGGGTGGTCCAAAAGTATCTTTTATATTTTAAAATTTAATAATCAAATAACTAAATAAATTCAACTATGCAATTTTTAACAATTTTAAGCCTAACTCAAACAGTTTGTATTTTCATCTTTCTTTTCTCATCAGTGAGTAGTATTACTCTGTAAAACGGTAACCATGCAAGAAAAGGTTCAATGCATCATTTGGCTTGCAAGGTGTGCCAGTCCCGTGGCCTCCGCGTTCACCAGACATCACTCCACTAGACTTCTTTCTTTGAAGGTATGTTAAGGACATCGTGTATTGTACATCTATAGCAAACATCATGGAGCTAAAAACCAGGATAACAGATGTCATCGCCACTGTAACTGTGGACATGTAACAGCGAATATGGACTGAAATCAAATAACGGTTGCACGTGCAAACGTACAAGACTACTGACTTATCAATAAAAACTGTTTGAATTAGGCTACAAGATGTCGAAAACTGTATGTTTTTTATTTAGAATTAAATAAAAGATATAGACAATATTAAGAATGCCTGAATATTACACCACAAATGATAGCAATTACAGTATACAAGAGCAAGGACACTAGGACCCCTTCATGTTTACTTTTAGCAAGGCAGTATGTATTGTCTCATTTGTGAATAAGCAATATTCCTAGAATTGCCAAAAGGGTTCCACAAGGATCTCACTGTATTGTTAACACATTTTTTAAACCATTCATGAACGAAATCGCTTGTGTTTCCATAAATTTGTTGTTTACTGAACCCCTAAAAAATGTAAGTCACACAAAATATTGAAACAAAAATACTATCAATAAAAAAGTTGATTTCACTAATTACTGTTAGAAATTCCTATTTATTTTACATAAAACACGAGTGATTTCAACAATTAGTTTTGTTAATTCTTTGCAATGGGTGCTGTAATAGGCAAAAACATAAAACTATTCAATATTATAAAATAGGTGGATCCCAAATGCTAGTGAATTGTATTTAAACAAGTCAGTGATTTGAGGGTTAATATGTCACCTTAATATTTAATATAGAATACCATTAAAGTGATTTTAGTATACTCACAGGGGTGGTAATCTCAAAGTTAAACATAGAACATGGCACTTGCTCTCTGGAAACACTAGAGGATCCAAGATCTAACTTGTCACAGGTGGTTTTGTTTGTATTCGTGCATGCAAAGCTACTCAAGGTATATCTATGTTAGCTGTCCCTAATATTGACCTGAGAGACTCTAGAAAGGCAGCTAATCAACAGCGTCCACCATCAACTCTTGACTGACCAAATAGTGGGATTTGACCATCACCTTTATAATGCAACAATAGCATAAAAATGCAGAGTGTTGTCTTTTTCAGATGAGGTAACTGGATGGGAATATTGGACTTGCAATTTCATAGTCTTCATTGGACCACACAGGAGAATTGAAAGAAGCAAGACGCGAAATCGAAATAAAATAAAATGTTTTAGTTAAAAGGAAAAAGACAAACAGCAGATCAAAACAGCGGTGAATTATTGTGTTGCCAAACAAGGACAATTAAAATAAAATGAAATAAACTGTATTTTGAATCAGTATAGTTTATAACAAACTTAACAAGAAAATGAAATGAAGTTAAAATGAAAAGTACACGATCACCATATAGATATGAGTATAGCAGAACTTGGACTGGACTTTGTCATTGAGTCCTGGCGTTCTCAAACACGAAATAAACTGTTCTTCTCAGAGGTCAAAATTAATATTTTGTGAAAGTGCCAAAACTGAGACAGTCCAGTAAGTTAATGTGGTTGCCACTAATAGGAATGGTGGTGAATATAATAATAGAATGCTATGCAAAAAGCCCTGACATGACCTGGTGGTTAGATCATTCAACTCACGGGATTACATGTTCAAATCCTCATTACCGAACATGCTCGCTCTTTTAGCCTTGTGATGGTCAATCCCATTATTCGTTGGTAAAACAGTAGCCCAAGAGTTAATGGTGAGTAATGTTGACTAGCTGCCTTCCCACTGCTAAATTATGAATGGTTAGCACAGATAGCCCTCGAGCCGCTTTGTGCAAATTAAAAACAAACCAAACCAAAGATATGCAAACAATGATGATTTTAAAATAAATGGCAATGTCATCAGACAGATTGCTTGATTTAGCTGTTTTAAATACAGCAGTGCTATTTGGCCAGATAGCAGATGACGAAAATATATTGTTAATTTAGACATATCCATCATTGTTGATGAATTATACATTGTTCAGTCTGAAGGACTTGCCTTTATCCAGAGGCTGCAATAAGAGAAGAGTTAAGAATTGTGTTTAACTTTGATAAATTTCCCATTGCCCATTGTGTAAGACAACATTGGCCACTATGTTTGCATTATCTTAATAAGCTATCTCCCAAGAACATTCACCATTTAATATTATGGCCCCCTAAACATTCGCTAAATTTAGGGTACTGGAAATTGGCGTTGCATTCATAATAACCATTCTCTTTGTAGTTGACGAATCATAAATCAGGCATCAGAACGCGAAAATATCATGAGGTAGATAAGTTCTTTGTACAGACAGTCTGCAGAAAATAG